AAACGATCTCACTGATGCACTTAGCCGCTTTCAGCTGGGGCTCGTTTGACCTGCTGAGCTTTACAGCGTTGGGATTGAAAACAGTGGACGATCTTCTGGCAAGATCTTCCTTTCTGCTGCACTGTCCTTTTCCTCGTCCACTCTTCTTAGCCTTCCACTGCAGGGGAAAAAAAAAAAAAAAAAAGGAGGAAAGTTTGGATCACATGTGTTTAGCCTGTATATAGATAGGCGCTCATCTGGGGCTCAAAACGTAAATCTGAGGTCTGAAGTCACCAATTAACTGAAAAGAGCCCGTGCAAACTTTTTGCAACAAAGCTGACCTTGCAGCCCTCTAAAAAACCCCATCTTCGAGGTTAGAAAAAATTCTAGCTAGAGGGCCCCAGGATGAAGTTGCTAAATACGAAGAAACAAGTTTCAGTTACCTAGTGGGTTGGTGCCTTCCTTTCACTTCCAAGTTTGCCCTTTGATTTGGTGCAACCCGTCTCCATGGGAGAGTGATAAATAAATGCTGTGAAATGTAGTCTTCACTACTAGGTGAATTAGCAAACACTTTGTTTTGTCAAGATCAGTAATGCCCAACTCAGGTACTGATAAATCACAGGTTAGCTGCCAAAAACCATGGGAAGTACGACATTATTATTTTTAATCATTAATTTGGGGCTCTCTGTAGTGGCTTCTGAAACTTTAGAATAGCTTTATGCTACAAGCCTGAGCTCTTTTTACTTGCTGTGGTTCTCTTGAAATCAAACCAGCTGTAAAATACTGCCTACTCTTAGGCTTAAAATAGCTGAAACCACCAAGTTTCCTGTGGTTTCACATGAAACCATACGCTTTGTGATGAGTGTGCCTACTGTTGTAAAACAAGGATGTAGGGCACAGCCCGGCAACTCAAAGGGTGTATTTGTCACCCCAGTGAAGGGCAAGAGCTGATCAAAGCTCAGAAGGACCTGAAGCCGTTAGGAAGGAGCTTGGATTTTTCTGTTCTTTTCTGTATTGCTACTTCTCATGACTTTATCAATGGATTCATGGTATTTCAACACTTTTTTGAGCTGCAGCTCCCAAAAGCTAGTTAGCTACACAGAAATTGCCACTTAAAAAATCTAGCTCTCGTCTATGTGGGAATAAGTTTAAAAGTATAGCATGGGTACGCACAATGACTTAGAGAGCACCTCTCGGGAAAGGCTAACCTATTTTTCTCCTTCATTTTATGATTTGGGGATATGTGTGTGTTTGGAATATGTGTGTATGGTAAGGCAGCTGTCTTAAGACTATTTACTATTATCTTCTGTGTGCAATAAATAAAATGCAGAAGACTCCTTCTGCCCCTCCCCAAAAGTTAGCATTAAATGGGTATTAAAAATAATGCTTCTGTGCAGACTCTGTATTCTGGAATTTCCAGTGGCCTCACATCTCTGACTAATTCTAGTTGTCATTTGAATTAACAATATCAAATGCAGATTGATATCTTTTCTCCTGTTGATTAAAACCCAAGAGTTACCAATAATGAAGAAAAGTATTCGAAGTTGCTTGTGCTATTGCAAATTGTATTCAGATACAGGTTATCTACAGGCAGCGTTTTCAGATTCTGCAGAAAACAAAGGACAGGCTTCTCCCAGCTGTCTGGGTGACATTTTTATGATTTCATGAGAGAAAAACACAGATTTGAAAGCAGCTTATTTACAGGTCTTACTCTCAGGTCATTTACAAAAATAAAGTCAAATCACTGCCTTCCACAGAAATCCTAAGATGGGTGAGGGGGCCTGGGATTTCAGTGAGAGCTAATGGTCACTTTTGCTGGAAGAAGAGAAACTGTAGCTGGGATAAAGCTTTTATTTACTTACTCATTTTTGATTGGTCTAATTCTCTAAATCTGCATATGTAGGTCATACCTATAGCAAGCAACCTCACTTTGCCTGGTTAAATTTCCTTTCAGGAAGACTGTGTCATTGTTCATTTCAATCTGCTGCAGATTTTTCTGTATATACATATGTTTTATATGTGTATGTTCTGTATATGTAACATTCCACAGCTTCAGAAATGCAGAGGCCATGGAAATGCGGGAAGACCCTGCACTCTGCACTCATTCTGCACTGTCAGGAAACTACCCAGCCATTCCACCTGGATCTGAGATACTCTTTTCTCTACTGTCTTAGTTCAGTCAGCCTTGTACGTAGCATTGGTTTTGTAAACACATTGCCCCTGGCATGCCCAAAGAATACTATCTTGACTGAGGTCATGGATACATGATAACCTGAGTAGGTTAACCATTTCACCCTGACCTGAATGGTTTTCTGCATACCCAGCCTGATTATCAAATACTATTTAGGTTGTTTTCCTGTTAAGAACACAATGCAAAGAGGATGCAGACTGAGACAAGACTTATTTAAATAAAACAGAGTAAGGCATGTGCATGGGGATATATGGGTGAATTATGCTCTGATTCTAACACTACACGGTTGATAAGATCGTACTTATTCTAACCTGACATACCATATGGTAGATGACTCTTCACCTTTTCTCTGCTGGAAATATCCTCTATTGCATGACTGAAATAGTATTAAAGGGGTCTAGTCACATTCTCACTAGACAAAAATGCCTTTTTATTGGGGCTACATTTGATGTCTTTTCCTTATCAGCGTGGACACTTCAGAAATCACGATACCTTAATTATAAAGAATGTATGCGCTCACCAGTGCTTGCTAGTCTATTGCTGATAGAAACTGTGTGTAACTACGGAGGATGGCACAGCCCGGAGGGGAATGCTTCTAGGTAGAGACAGCCCTAATCCAAAGTGAGGTGTCTGCCCAGCGCATGGTGGTGAACACATAACAGAATATTAAATTCTCCTGAGCACCTCCCTCCATACTAATGAATCCACCTCTGAAACCTCTCTGTGATAATTTATTATAAGTAAGCCCAAGTCACTCTGTTAATCCAAGGAGATGAGATAAAATAAAAAGAACACATTCCAAAATTATTTCTTATTGCATGTAACTTTATTTGTAGCGATGAATGCCCCTGAATGATGCCAAACATGTTAGTGAGACAGCATGAAGTCAAATGATGTCATTCAGTCACAATTTTCTTGAGGAAGTCAGTTGGTTTTCCATAATTAGGCTACTGTGCATATAACAATAGCTGAAATCCTGCATTTATGATTGGTGTAGTGAGGAAAAGATAATAAAAAGCAGTGAAACAGGGGCAAAAAGTGTACAATATGCTGCCTTTTTTAAGAATATTTTTTCTTATTTCTATAATCCTGGAAAATCTTTTTCAGAATGAAAAAGAGCACAATAGCAAAACAGAACAGGTAATGGGTTTGGAAAAAGTAGAAGGCCAGCTCCTTTACTGTATAAATAACATGAATAATGATGAAGCAGTACAGGAAAAAGGCATACTGGTTTGGGGGCCAGAGTAGATCTTGGAGTCCTTGGCTAAACTGTGGAAAAAGGAAAAGATACACATTATGTCACATGACTATGTTCCACTCATGCCCAGTCCATGTGCTTCTCTGAGCACACCTGGCTCTCTGGTACATTTAATTTACAAAACGTTGCTGTGAGATAAGCCAGCACATGAACTGAGAGCAAATCAGCTATGCTGTGTTAAGTGACAGGTGTCACATTCTCACCCATATCCATAACACGAGCTAGGTTTTCTCTCTCTGAAATGAAGGTAAGTAAGTGACCTCATATTTACTCATAAGAATGAGCGTACAGGTACATAAAGCAGTTTATGTGAAGTAAGTGCACAATGCTTTTCTGTGTCCATCTCTACATCTGTGGCACAAACTGTTGTCTGTGTTTTTTCACTGCATGGTCTTTTTCATACGTTTTCACATGCTCATGGGCAAACTTTCAGGTCTTAATTTAATAAAAGAATTCAGTAGTTGATTTCCTTAGTCATTTAGCCAAATATATATTGGACCTGATCCTCATCTGTTTTTCTCTGATATAACTTCATTGATTTCATTGGAACTGCATTTCCTTCACATAATTGTGACATCCTATCCAGGCCTATGGATTAGCTATATGGAAAGAAAATAATATACGCATATGGAAAACTTCAGGGCTTCAGGTGCTTAGCTGAGTGCCGTTATTGTGCATGATCTGAGCTCCTATGTACAACCACAACACAAATGCTACAAATACTGTGTAAAACATATTCTTCTATCCTGTCCTGATTTAAAGCACAGAACATGCAAGAGAAGAAAAACACGCAAATACCTCTAAAACATTGATGATTTAGATTCAGATACTCTGCCTACTCTCTAACTCAGTCCAATGACAAATTGCATTAAACTGGAGGAGAGTCAGGCCCACAGACAGCCAATGTGATCAGGAAGAGCCCAGACAACCAAGATTTGCAGCTCTCCCATTTGCTAAACTCTGCCAAATAGAATGCTCTCTTCTGGGCTGGACTACTGTTAACAGCAGACTCATATGCCTGAACATACAATAACTTCAACTACTTCTGTAAAAAACAGGCTTGCAAAATCTGACTAATTGTCTAGAAAATTTGCATTACTTTGGTAGATTCTGTCATCCATTCATTTATTCACGCATTTATTATCTGAGTCATCTAACTGATCAATTTCCAAGCCAGGAAATTGATCCCACTGTAGAAGCAGGAAACTGCTCAAAGTGGCGTTCAGAGCAACTCCTCTGTTGTTCAAGGGGGAAAAATAAGAAAAAAAAAAAGTTCTTGGATCCTTATGTCATAAACTTAATTTGTGAGTTAACTGTTCTTTAATATATTTTATAGCAATGAATGTTACCATAGTTCATATTGAAGGGAGTAGAACAACTCCATTCTCCTTAAGTATGTGTACAAGCTGTAAAGGTCACCTGGTGGAGTCTAACTTTAAAAGAAGTCACAGTACTACTCAAGAATACACACAAAAGAATAAAACCTTATAAATTGCTTAACCTAGAATGTGAATGTTTCAGTCTCTATTGTGTTCAACCCTTCTTCCTTTCCCTAACTGCCTGTTGATGAATCTGCTCCATTCTCTCTTCATGAAGCCTTTGCTTTTCATTATCCTCATGTTCATATTTCAGTTTAGCCAGCACAAAATCCCACTTCATCCTCTCAAGCTCAATATCAGCTGCGGTGACCTGCTTGCCACAGAGCTGTTCCAGCTCCTCTGCATTGGTGGATACTTCTGACTGCAAAGCACTGGTTCCTCCCTTCATGTCCAAATGTGCCATATGCCACTTAGCATCCATGCTCTCTGTTTTACTGTCTGAGATGAAAGATGGTGTGGTCATGTCTCTGATGGCTCCCTGCTATAAATTGGAGAGAGGGAGGATAAATTCGTATTTAAGCTGATAGATGAAAATAGAATATGTTCATCTAAAACCTGAATATTTGTTCGAGTGATTATTCACACATTTGTATAACGACTCACTGGTTTCCAACATACATTGTTCCCCTTTAAAAACTTTGTTTCCGGAGTTGGAAAAGAAATCTTCCATTGAATGTTGTCTTAGGAAATATGAAATATCCACCATATAAAATTTTTCTGATTTGAAAATGTAAAGAAAATTCTAAAAATATTTAATTAGGGCCTGGTTGATCTGAAACAAATACTATGGCTCTTTTGACCAAATGGAAGGGTTTCACATCTTGTGAATTTGATGTTAACCCATGAAAATGGGAGCCACTGAGGTTCTTTACCTCTGAGAAGTAACTCAAATGTCTCATGATCCTCACTTTCCTTTGCACACTCAATTTCCTGGCTGATCTATATGTTCCAGGATGCACTGTAGTTTTACATCTGGAAGAACTGTGTCTTCCACTTACCATCTTTTCATGCTGCTGCTTCTTGTTATCATTATTCTGGGGTTCCTGTAAAGTGAGTTGAATATCTTTCTGATTTTCCTCAAGCTCTTCCATAGTTGTTTGGAATGAATATTCTGATCCCTCTAGATCACTGAGTTCTTCCGAATCTCCTTGTTTTTCCTGGTCTTTAGCAAACAGAGTTCCTGTCTCAACATGGAAGACCTCCACTGATGTTAAAGCATCTCCAGGGATGTTCTGGAACAGAATGGGGATATCTATGTGCTGACAATGAAACAGGTGACCCATATTTAAGAAAAGGAGTCACTCTGAGAATAATGTAGGCACATACACATAGAGCATACTGGAGACTATGCGGAAGTGGCTTGGGGCTTAACTCTCATTTACGTTCTATAATGTTCCTTGCCTAGATATTAATAAAAACAAAAAAAATCACTGGATATAAATCTGTAGATAGATCTTCTGAAAATCTCACTTGTAGGCTTTTTAAGATGAGAATTTGTCAGCAATTCCATTTACAGTAACCCGTGGAGCTGGCTAGGGGCCCCCAGGAAGAACAATGTATCACACTTCTTTAAAAAGCAACATAATCAATACGCTTCTGCAGCTCAAAGAAGGATGGCTTTTCTTTCATGGAAATAAAACTTGACTGAAAATCTACCTTAGGCTGGGGAGTTTCTTACTGCCTCCAGCATAGTCAGATCACAACTTGTAGGGTACGTCTAGTCATTAGCTAGAAGTCAATACTATCCTTTTAACTGACTGGATCTAGGTAGACATTTCAGCATGTGAACTAAGAGTTCAACCTCTTGTTTCCAGGCTCACAGTTGCTGCGTTTTATAAAAGTGATATAAGGCATAGATTTCACATCTGAGAAAAGATTTTGGCAAGACAATGAATTTGTTTGTTATTGAGTTTAAGGAAGAAGAGCAGAAGAGGAAGAAAGTAAAGCAAGCTGATTACCATAGGTAACTAATGTCCAAAGACAGGGCAAATGGCAGGCTAAACATAAGGCAACAGTCTCCTCTTCACAGGATTTCCACACAGAAAATGTGAAAGCAGCTGTCCCAGTTCAAAGGCCAGGACCCAATGACTGCAGAGATTCTGCCCTTAGCTGACTTCATAACTGCCCTGTTGCCACAACAAACCGATGCTTATTGTTGGCAAGATCACATTCTGTCACATTCCTTGTTCGACCGCTGGGACAGTATCTAGGCTCTTCAAGGGGGACTGAGCTTACCTCCTCTTCTGTCACAGACCATCCTACTTGGTCACTGTTCTCTCCCTTGTAAATACATCTATACATTGCAGTGAAGCTTTCTGCCAGAATTCGTGGACTCCCAGAATGTCCCTGTGCTCAAGCCAATTAGCTCTTTCTGGGAGGCAGGTTTATTGGATCAGATAAAGCACTGTGATAATAGCTATCCCATTTCGGTGTTCCTGGATAATTTCTCTTCAAGGTGTTGCACTGAATCTCATGGATATAATTAGCCCAGGAATCTCTGCACTGTCCTGTATTCCCTACTGTAGATATGCCAGCATTTCAGTTTCCCATCTATAAACTAGAATCCCTTGCAGTGACTGGTCACAAGCTCACAGTGACTTCATGATACAGTAAAGGATGTCCTGTAGTAAGATAATGTGAGCCCTTTAAGAATCTTAAAGAAAGCTTTCTTCTTCTCTGTTATTCAGGAGTAGGGAGAAAACGTTCTTCTACTGTTACTAGTCTGTATAAAGCACCTTTCAGAAAAGGATCTATCCATTACAGATTATATCATGTAAATAAACACAGGGACCTCAATTGCTTTTTGCCCTGTTCCAAATATCATACACACTAGGGGTGAGTCAGTATATTTGTTTGGTAGGTGATGTGTGGAGAGCTGGATGACAGATCCAGTGAAAATATGAAAGACTAATGAAGTAACTGAGACCACCCCCTGTTGCATCATTTATCAAGTATTTTGTCAGTTTACAGCTGGATTTTCAAATCCCAAGGCACACTGAAGACAGAATGACACACAGCGCTCTGAAATTCCATCATTAGTTTTGACTGAAAATATCAGAGAGTTTTTAATTGCTTTTGGTGCCAATGATCCAATTACCTAGTTAAACATAGGTCCTAGTTATTGAAATAATCAGAAAAAGAGCGAGAAGGGATGTAGTATATTTGTTGTACGTGTGTATTTGCATATTTATTTTATGCTTTCCAAAGGTAATGTGTATTTTCTAAGAAGACACAGACATGGAGCTGTGGCAATCTTTGTGCTTTTATTGCAGTTAAGGTTCCTGAATTCCTGGTGGACAATGCAGATACCATAATGCCTTAAATGCTTACTAATGATATATTTGTTCAGACAGTCTCAAGACATCCTCGTGAATGTATATCCCCATAAATCTTAAAGAACTATAGAAAGGATTTTCATCTCTGTCCAGGGATCAAACATTGTAGTGCAGTTAGGAAATCAATCTGGTTTTGCTAAATGACTTAATTGGCAAGTGGGAGGCATAGGATACTGTCTGGTAGGCATGAAATATACAGTAAACCTCCTAGAGTAAATAGGTACTTGCAAAATCATTCATTCTCCATGTACCAAACACCTTTCAATCTTTTGCAGCCAGACTCACTACAAGGTACTTCAGAGAGTCGTGAAGTTCTTAGCATCTCACGTGCTCTTGTCCTTAATTTATTGTGTTAAAATATTTGCCTTCACATTCAAACCAGAGAGGAAGCTAATGTCATTTCTCGTCGCACCCAAAGAAGTGGAGGCTACTGCTTCCATTTTCAAGTGATTATCTCTCTTGCCCTGTTTTTCTTTCCTCTTATCTCTCCAAACTTGCTGTCACTTTGCCAGCAGAGCTGAAGTTAATGCATAGTAGGAAGGTATACTGCTGCCATCATTTGTGCTGCAGTTATTGCCATATATTGCAAAATTTTACTTTCATTTCCTTCTTGATATGATTTTTCCATAGTTTCAAGGACACAGTAGGATATATAACAGTTGGGATAATTCATATTTAGAGAGTGAGGAAAGTTCATGCCTGAGTAGGAAGTCTCTCTTCACAATGTATTTCAATATCTGAAGATAATTTCTCTAAAAAGCCTAGTGCATCTCATATGGGCATCTATGTTGAAGGCCAAATCTAGAGCAGGATGTTAGCAATAAGGGATTGTGAGCAGGTATAAAGAATTCCAAAGGAATCCCAAAGGTGGGTTTTTTTGGTACTCGGGCGCTGCAAGTTCCTACATAATATTTAATAAATGGGAAGGTCAGCAAATGGAGATGTATATAGACACTTACCAGCTGTTTCAGTCCCCTCAGATTAGATGACCTTCCAATACACTGGATCACAGTGCTGCTGTTTGGAAAAATGGGAGAGGGCTGGCAAAATAGTTCCTTAGACTGCAGCTTTTAGGCTGTCAAAGTAGTCAGGTAGTCTTCCTTAGACACCTCTTAGGAAATAAATGAGTATCTGCTTTGTGGCACACACACTGTTGCTATAGATTTTTATGCACTTGGGTTAATTTGTGAATTAAGGGTATGGTAAGAGGAGTTATCTCCTCTTTACATATGAGGAATTCAGTCACTGGCTAAAACAACTGACATACCCACGCCTGATCTTTAGTCTTATGCCTTATCTGTGCAACCATCCTTCTTTGCTCATATTTTCTCCTCCCGAATAGTGCAGAAGTAGGCAAGATAAAGTTCTTAGAAAGGAAACAAGTATCACATTTCTCCTACGTAAATTGCCTTTTGAAAACAGACATAGTTATAAAGTTACTGGTGTACAGAGGCGTTCATACCAGAAAGAATAACATGCATAGGAAAATCCTGAGTAGATACAACTAACACGTGCACAATCATTCTCACGTTGTGATCACGCTAGAGGTCTTGTGTGTGCACTGGACAGTCAATCTGTGTATAGTGGCAACATCAATAGGACTTCCAGGATGCCAAACATTTAGAAATTCCAGGCAAATGGCCAAATTCCTCTTTTTCTGGTCGGACAAAATTTACATGCAAGAAAAGAGTACACGTTTCAGTGAAATTAAAATACAGGTAACCCCCGTCAAATATAATGGTCAAAAAAATGATCACCAGTATTCCCAAGCTCTTTAAAGGCTAAGCTGCCTCCTTGATGTATTTTTTGATCAATTCCAATGAACCATTTTAAATTATCCTAGCTAATTGTGCTTCACTGTTCCTTTTAGTGAACTTTGATGACCACTCAGAATATACATTTGAATTTCCTGAAGATAAGCACAAAACACATGGGCTGTACATACTGGATAACAAAGACAATACTACTTAAGCTGTACTTAGAGAAAGTGGCCTAATTTTACCGTAAAACTTATTCTTTTGGTTTTTTCTACAGCTTGCCTTAAAATACTAACTATACTCCAGCAAAGATAATTTCTTGAAGCCTGGGTCCAACCCAACTCACTCAGGTGAAAAGGTGCAGCCTGGCTTCTCCCAGGGCAGGTATTAGAACAACGCTGAATAAGCTTGAAAGATAGTTGGAAGATGAGAGTAGAAGGCTGCGCATGTTGTGTCTGACTTCTCTGAGTAAGCAGAGAAAGCCAACAAGTATCAACAACCAGTGCAAAAGCACCACCAGTTTGATTTTTCTGAAATTATATAGTAATTTTGCATAGCTGTAATTGACATCATAAGATTCGAGACAGCACAGTATTGCTGTCATGGTATTTAAAGGCAGCTTTTAGTCAGAAATAATTATACGGGACTTAACAATATCCAGAGTTTCAGTAAGGAGTTGGTGGTTGGGTTTTGGTATAGGACCTTTAAGAACATGAATGCATTTAAAATGGGAAAAGGCTTTTTTGAACACCTGACAGGAACTTCTGCAGTTATTTCAGGTATTAGAAATAAGCTCTGAATAAACATAAAATTATTTGCAAAACCTGAGCTACTTTTGCTGCTGGTTTCACTGCAGTCAGCATATCAGTCACTGAAGAATTCATGGAATTTTTGCTTCCAAGTGAATTGTTCCACGTTCTAACCCCCTTGGTTAGGTTCTGGATCATTTATGGAGTCTGAGCCAAGGAAAGGCCAGTCCTGAAAGATGAATGCAGTCTTTCTTCTGTTGGCTTTGAGCCATCACTATAGAAGATGGTTTCTCCCATTGCTTATGCCTACATGAGTTTCACAACTGCCTGCAGATCTGTGGGAATATAGGATCCCTTCAGAGAATGACAATGAACTGACAAAATGTCATTT